ACATGTATACACACTCACACACACACACATTTCAGCAATCTAGCTTCACACTCGAGAATGTATTTGTATTTCAGTGTAAAAGCAGTGACCCATTCTCTCATCCTCTCATCAGTTTTTTCCTCTATCAACCCCTCTTTCATCTTTCTGTCTTTCATCTTACTGCTGATTTCTGTCCAGTAGAATAAAAAAGAGAACAAGCTGGCTGAGGAGGAAACACTAAAGAAATCTAATGCATTGTATTTGTGTGCACCAACAGCAAAACAAAAATCACGTCTCGTTTATAAACTGCCATGAATYACGTGCAAATGACAACAATGTGTTCCACAAGTTTTATAAAATAGGATATAAAAATGTTATTTTATTTAATGTCAGTAAAGAATTTTAAATGTGTCTCAGCATGTTTGACATTTAAATGATTTTTCACTGTTTTTGGTCTAAAGTAAACTATTAAATTGATGTTTGTTTTTCATTATTTAAAATTTTATGAAGGTCAGGTGTAGAGTTTTATCTAAACTTTAATTTTTGTGCTGTTTCTTTTGTTTACTAGTCCAGGTACAAAGAATCCTAGGCTGGGTTTACCAAATAACATCACATGGTTACCTTTAAATATCAAGAAAATTAGACTGAGGAAAAAACATTACACTATTTCTGGAAATATTTACATTTTATCAAATTCGGTGCACATTAGAAGCTACATATTTTCTGAAGAGTCTAGTGTGAGAGCTGCCCAATGTAACCAGGACAAGTTATCAACACAACACAATCACTGAGAGGCAGAAGAAGTCAGTGTGGAGTTTTTAAACTTTAGTTGGAAAACTGTAACATTTTTCTTAAAGGTGGGGGTGTTATTATATAAAATCAACTTATTTAAGCTTTATGTCATGTTATAATGTCATACACTCATCAAAAACAGACACAGAGTGTTGCTTTGACTCATCCATGCATGTTTGAGAAATCCTTGAATCTCCTYTGGTAATCATGTGGAGCTGCCTAAACACTTGCTGGTACAAAGCTCCGCCTATTTATACAAAGCTCCTCCCTGGAGCTCAGTCTGAAGCTGATGTCTCGCCCCATATAGCACCCCCTCCCACTGAAGCATTGTAGTGAAGATGTGCTGAAGTGGGAGTGTCTGAAATGGTAGGAAGTTTTTAAAGAGGCAGAGACCAATTTAAAGGTGTTGGACAGGCAATGATGCATATTCAAATTTATTTTTGATTTATACAGCAGTGTCATAACAACTGAAGCTAACATAGTTACTTGATTGTGGTATAGAATTAAAATCTGTGATTGGAAAATACATAACCCCYTTTTAAGTTTAAAAAGTGTGTTGTGAGTAAAATTAATTTAATGCACATCCTGTCAYCAATAAATGGAATTTAATGAAGACTTCTGTCGTTATGAAGCAAAGCTATCAGCTCAAACAACTCAAGTTTTTGTCTTATTTAGGAGGATGGTCTTCAGAAATGCTATTTTTGAGCCATTTAARAGTAAACCTTTTCCTTCAGAAATATAATATACAATATATCTTCATTTAAAAAAAATGCAAACAACTGAATATGCAAGATGAATAATTGAGATTCCTATGCGGAAATAAAAGTTATCATTTCAAAGTGTAAAAACAGAATTAACCATTAAGGCATGTATAAAAACAAGTACGTGAGTAATAAGTGTTTTTGTTTATTTCATATATTGGGGAAACACATTTTATTTTATCCTCTTTGTAAAAGAGTCACCTTTACTATGATATTTTTGCCCTGCAGATAGTGTTTGTTTGATTGTTGTCTGAGTACTGTTGGTACAAATTTATGATTTTTCTGGCTCGGGTAATGATATAGGTTCTGATCCAACATGAGCTGCTACCAGACCCATCTTGTTTTACAGAATCCTGCAAATAAAATGAATCAGTTTGATCTAACGCTRAGTGTTTTGCTGCMTTCTTTCTTTCAGAACTGTCACAGCTGTGGTCCTCTGCTGTGTGGATGCAGTAATTAACAGTGTGTGTGTTGGGATGGTGTGTGTGTGTCAGGAGGTCTGTGCATGTGTGGTTTTTAGACACATGGGGACAAATGTTTTTGCCCATCTCTCCCACTGGGTATTTCAGAAAATTAAGTAAATGTGCAGCATTAATTGCATTTTCCCCTCCTTAAATTTCAGCCCCTAAATATTTTATTCATACCTTTGGATTAAAAATATATATAATTACTTATGTCCCATTACTGTGTTATGGTAAGCCTGTGATTGTAAGGGTTGACAAAATGTCTTCTGGGTTTCAAATTAAAAACTTCTAAAACTTTCAAAGTTTATTTTATTTTTATTTTATTTAGCAAGAGTTCACAGAACTCACACCTGACCTCAGACTAGTTTAACTTCATACTCAGAAGCCTAAACCACCGAGCTGGGCAAACAAAATATAACACATCTACACACATTCAGGCTCCAAAAACAACATTTTCATAATAGCAGGTTGAGCAAGTGTTCATTTATGGTMGCACTGTTGCAAAACATGAAACCAGTCCAGTTAGCAAATACCTTTAACCCTCAATATGAAACCCAACAAGCTTCCGTTTTAGAGGTTCTCACAGATTCCACATTGAGATTTCTTAAAATAAAACAACACTGTAAGCAGTTTCAAACAAGTAAATGAGATTTACTATTAAAGCACTGTTTTCAAAATAACAGATAAAAAGTAAGAGCATCTGCTTCGATATTTTAATGTCTATCAGCAGGTTTTAAAGACCTGTCAATTCTTTTTTTGTGAAATACATTATTTGAAAAGAAATTAAACACTCATGCATCAATAAAGCTGAGGCAGCAAAAACTAAAGCATCCTGTCAGTGACAAGTCAAGCAGAGCAATATATCTAAGAAGTATTTTTACCTCAGCCCACACGCTGAGCAAAATGCCAACTCTTGGCCTTGAGAAACACACACTTGCAGAATGACACACACACACCCTAACAAACAGCAGATCAAGCACAGCCAACCACGGTAGCGGCCACAGAACATAAACAACTTTCACACGCTCTGCGAATCATCTGAGCATTTCACTATAGTGTTACACAAATATATTCAGCCACACATATAAATATAAGCAACCATAATTATTCCTCGAGACCGCAAATGACCGTGACGGAAAGCCGGTTCCCACAGTTTCAGCAGCGCTGCAGCCCAGCCCAGCCCAGCGGTACTGGGAATCTGCAGCTCAGTTTACAGCAGAGACGGGTCGCTGTGCGAGCCGAGAGGGGAAGGTGACGGCTGACAACAATCAGCGGTTTGTTGGTTTCAATGCAAACGGCAGCGTTTATGTTCTGGCTGCAGCTAAAAACTATTTTGTGCTCGGGTGACAGAAAAGACATTTGACGTATTCATTCATAGACGCACACACCTCTCTCCTAGTGGCAGCAGCTGTTTGAGTGCTAATCTCCAATAACTACTGATCTGGCCTCTATGGAAAGAACCATAAAAAACTGTCTCTCTCTCTCTCTTCTGACACATTTATCCCTCTGATAATGTAACACAAAGAGCAGAGACTTRGGGTCCTCTGTTAGACCAAACATGGAGGTGTTCGTTCAACATTTTAGTGAAGATCGACTGAGTGATAAAAGGTAAATAAAAACGTAACTTACAGTCTATAGAGCTTAGTCGTTCCCAGGAAAAGCAGCTCAGGAAACACGGCCAGATTATTCCGATTTAGGCGCCTGTGAAAACACAACATGAATCAGCAACCTTAAAAAATAGTATTTTTAAATGTCTATAATAAATTTTATGACTTTTATGCCATTTCGGTGCAGTTAAAAAACATTAGGGACWATAAGAAAAGACTGATGGATACATTTATTTTTTTCTAGCACACGTTTTTAGATAGAAACATGGACACAAAAAAGACTAAGTTACCCACTATTTGAGGGGGTACAACATGGCTGCCAGACAAACAGTGAACCTGTGAAAGATGAAGGGGACAGGGGGGGACGAAGACGAGGGAAGGGGGTTCGGATGAAGGGGGAGGGAGGTGGGGAACGCCATTTCCACAAAGACGAAGGAGAGGAGATGATGTGGGAAAAACAAACAGGCAGTCTGGCCGGGCTACCGAATGTGTGAAAAGGACCCCACTGAGTAAACAAGGCCCTCACAGGGGAAGAACCCACAACAACTCATCACACACACACACACACACACACACACACACACACACACACACACACACACACACAGAGGGGTTGAGAAAACTCGGCTGAATTTAATAATCTGGTTGCAATCATTTAACCCCGGTTGAGTGGAGTGAAGAGGTTTGTGTGCCAATATGTGTGTGTGTCAATATGTGTGTGTGTGTGTGTGTGTGTGTGTGTGTGTGTGTGTGTGTGTGTGTGTGTGTGTGTGT